CCCTCCAACCTACTAGCGATGGCCTCCAACCTACTAGCGATGGCCTCCACCCTACTAGCGATGGCCTCCAACCTACTAGCAATGGCCTCCAGTCAACAGTGCTTGACAGGATCAACCATGGCAGAATTACCAAAAACGCCAGGCAAACAGAAATCCTGATGCACCAGTGGATTGCTGGCAATCGAACAAGTTTGAACGCCCGGTGGAGCTGGACTGCTGGACTGCCAATCCGAGGGCGTGGCACTGACAAACGGAGCCTCACCGCTTCCCACGCGCGAGTGACTCCGTGCAAGGTGGGTCAGGGCCCCTGTAAACACAATTGTTCTGACACATACAAGTAGTCTTGCAACCTGGAACAAAGGGCTTGATGGGACATGCTGGTCTTCATGGTACACCACCTCCCTTCCTGAAGCCAGATTGTGACAGATTGTCACACCATGTCACACCCAACAACCCGCCTGTGATAGGCCCATGACTCTGATAGGGCAGACCTGGCAGTGCATTCTGCTGAGTTACCATGTTTGGGATCAAGTTGCTCCCATGATTCTTCTTCCGGGAATCTTCATGCGAGAGCTCTTTTGCATCTCCAGTACCGCAACTCTAAACTTTGGGCCGAAGGCAGTGTGGAGGGCAGCGAAAATCTCGAAGAATGACGACACCGGCCCGTTCAAGAGTGTGCTCTGTCATACTTCTCCAAAGAATTTCAGCCAACTGGCCTGATAGCGCCCCATCAGACCAGAAGGCCACACCTGCGAGTGCAGGACAGCTTCACAGCCTTGATCGCTACATGCAAAAGAACAGATCTGAATGAGCAAACCCCAAACTGAACTGATCTTCAATGACTCAGAGGTGGGGTACGTTCATGTGTCATTTGTGTCATTTTGGGTCTTGTCAAATCCTCGAATCCTGCAACCTTTGAACCTTTCATCCCTTCAGACACGCCTTTGGCCTGGCCAACTTCGATTGACCTGGTGAACTCTCCAGGTCGACCGCCATGTAAATGGTTGGTTGGTTTTTTACTGGTAAAGACTGAAAAAGAAACCTTGAGGCGGTAAATTCCACAAAACCAGCTAGAATTATCCTGCAAGAGACCCCAAACAGTGTGTGTGAGGTCTGTAAGCAGAAAGTCTAGAGATCTAGACGCATTGGGGTCCAGAGAGGTGATGGCGGTGATGAAGTGAATGTGGGTGTGAGTGAGTGTGGGTGAGAGGGAGTGTGAGTGTGAGTACGAGTGAGACTGAAGGTGGGTGAGTGAGTGTGAGAGTGAGTGAGTGTGAGAGTGAGTGAGTGTGAGTGTGAGTGTGAGTGTGAGTGTGAG